AGTGGTTATTAGAAAATCCAAGTGAAGTAATATAATTAATCATTACAAAAAAATTTTTTATCCGATCACATGGATCATAAGGAAGTTAGACAGAGACATGGTAAACAGGTCATTATAAAATCACTAAGTTAAAAACATTTGGCGTCTCCAGATCTAATAGTTTATTCGGCAATCAGGAATCCACATAAGGCAATGAAGTTCCTAACTACTTGATCAAAAGAATTTTCATATTTTCCATATGATATCTGCATAGGGAGATCATTCTTCAAAAAAATATTTTTGGTAACCACCACAATGGATAGAATTACTTCCTAAAAATGGAAAAACCAGAAAAGAAAGGATCATAGTAGAGGGAACAAAAAATAGGACCATATGCAATAACAAAGTAACCCCATATCAGGTATATATGTTATTCCATTACCTTCTCATAAGCTTGACCATCATTAAAGGATGGATATATGGCCTTCCTGGGTAACCACCCCAGTTGGAAATGTATCCACAATAGTAAGTGATTCTAAAAGTGTATAAATATGAGACATAAATATCAAACAACAAACAAACCTGAATGGAACTAATAAGGGTAAAAATCTCTGAATATTACCATACAGAAGATCAAGGGGACTCCTCCTCACTTGAAGTAAGATCAGGTCTGGATGAAAAAGTGAATATGGGGGTGGGAAGCCAGGTGGTTAATGCATAAAGTCCAGACTGGTTGATACAGTCTATGTATATTTAGAAATATAGACCCAAATCTGGGTTTCCAAAAATTGCTCAATAATGAGAAAGTAGTGCGGTTCCTTAAAAATATATATGAGACTGTTTTTGCATGCCACAACACATATATAGCGTATTGTATACGTATTCCTTCAATAGGAGTTCAAAAAATTCCCCCATAAATGAGGTTAATAGGCACAGGATTTCCAAAATATGAGGGTATATTACCCGTATACAGAAATAGCACTAAAGCCTGATTTAGCCAAACGGCTACAAACTTGCCACCGGTGGAAGTAGGCTGTGACTCAGAATTGCCATGTGCCGACTGCTTAAGATGATGTCCTCATCATAGTTTGAGTGTCTCCTGCCTTTCCAGTTTAACTTAGTGATTTTATAATGACCTGTTTACCATGTCTCTGTCTAACCTTATGATCCATGTGATCGAATAAACTTTTTTGTAATGATTAATTATATTACTCCGCTTGGATTTTCTAATAACCACTTTGTGTGAGCAGTATTGCACTTGTCATACTGTTTTTTTTAATGTTAAATAAAACTATGATTTCCACACATATGCATAAAAATAAGCATTGCAGCATACAATGTTATACAAATTACTTGAAAGTTCCCAATTGGACTGTCATCAATCTACAACCTATAGTAAATAACAATACCCAAGTCTAAATGGTTGATTGAGGTATTTCAATGCAGCCATAATTTTAATTGTATATGGGGGGGGCGGGTGATCCTATTCTTCTACGAGTTTCATGTTTTGCTTCATGAGGAAGATATGTTGGGATGATTTATGGTGTAACATACTTCACCCATTAAACCAGAAGGAGGGGCACTGTGGATTCCCACAACAAAGTGTACCAGTTCCCCAGAGAAGAAATAACATGTACATCGATGGGTACATTAGAGAATATGCTACATCCTATGCGTAAATAATGAATAAGTAGGACAAACAGAAGAAGGGTCTATGCTGCAGCAACAATGTAGTATTAAGTTGTCACCCAATGCATCCTCTCAGTGCCTTTAATTATATTTTTCAGTGATTACTGACTTTATAGTGGCACCTTAAATGTCCCAAATTTTCATCATCTTGGTTTAAAGATGGAGTTTATTTAAGTTTGAGTTTTAAGTTTATTTATTTTTTTTTTGCAAAGAAGGTACTGTTTACAACCAACAAAAACGAGTATGCTTTTGTTTCATAACTAACGAAATACCCCTTGAAATCTCATTGGTTTCTAAAGGAGAACAGTGAATAAAAATATTGCCCAATTTACCCATTAAACAGATTTCATCAAGTGAGCTAAACCCAAGGTGGATTTTAAAAATCTGTTTTCAAGTTTTATGATTGCAAAATATTCAAAACTTTTATTACATTGTGAACATTGGCTTCCAATACCATTGGCAACATAATGATTGTGAGCCAAGAAATATGGCACAATAACAGCTGTGTTCATAAGCAATTGAAGAAGAAGCTGAGTACCACTTGTGTAAAAAGTAAGAACTTAAAATGCATAGCAGCCGTAAGCCCTCCTTTTTCAGAAATGTTTGTAATATGTGTGAATTTGCAGAGCAAATAGCTTAAAGGATAAGTTTGCCTTTTGGACAAAAATAATAAATGCACATTTTTTGCAGGTAAAAAAAATGTGCATTTATTAATTTTGTCCAAAGGATCCTGAAAAGCATTGCACCAGCGATCAGCAGATCATGATGCCATGAAGGTCTCCTGCAGACTGTCAGAATATCTGCTTGCCATACGGGATGTAGGGGATGTACAAACAAGCAGATATTCTGACAGATAGCTTCAATGAACTACCACGGTGCTCTACAGTGCCATGGTAGTTCATTGAAAACTACAAGCCCACAGCCGCTAAGACTGCCGGGATTTTCAGTTCATTCATCCACGGAAGTCCGCGAAGGAATGGCGTGGCCATGTGAATGGAGCCCCACATGGCTGTGCTGTTTTCAAATCTGACAAATAGTATGAGAAAACTTCTCCCTGTACTATCTGTCACAAGGAGAGGGGGGCGGCAGGCATGGCTGTGGCTATGGGAACATGTTAGATGTTCCACCCTAAAATGGGTGGAACATGTAACATATTCCAAAGGTGAACTTATTCTTTAACAGGGGTTAAACTCTTCTCCAATTAGAGATAGATAGACTTGACTTAACATGGACAGCACAGTGGCTAAGTGGTTAGCACTTCTGCCTAGCAGCACTAGGATCATCAGTTTGAATCCCAACCATGGCACTACCTGTCTACAGTTTGCATGTCCTCCCTGTACCTGGGTGGATTTTCTCTGGGTACTCCAGTTTCCTCCCACACTCCAAAAACATGCTGGTAGGTTAATTGGCCTTCATATGTATGGAGTTAGCGACCTTGGATTGTAAGCTCCTTGAGCATAGGGGCTGATGTGAATGTACAATATATGTAAAGCACTGTGTAAATTTTTGGCACTATGTAGGTACCTATAATAAATAAATAAATTCAGAAGATTCACAGTTATTTGGCAAACTGTCCAGTTAGGTAAGCAAACTAATCTTCTCCAATTCCCAAAGAGCTGCACCGCTTCACATTTTATTCCTATTCCTCTACCCTCTGGCCTCACCTTGTAATAACCAATTACAATGCTACTATGGTTAGAGCGCCATATGAAGCTGAAATTCTCCACCCAATGCCATTCAGTTTTAAATAATTTAAGCATAATTTATTAACAATTATTCATTGCTTTCATTTTTAATAATTAAACCTCAGACATGAAGCATATCCATCTATACTGTGTACTGGTCTCAATTAAGTGTCTTTTCTGTCTGCTGCTTCATCCCTCATCCCTGCTATCAGCATGAATCACTTCTGACAAGTTCTGACAAGTTCTGACACCAAGAGAAAAATGGTGACAGGGGAGGGACCTCCAGCAGATTGACAGCCTCCAATCTTCCCTCCAATAAGCTCTCAGAGCTCTTCTCACTGAGGTCTGAAAAGTGTAATTTCAGCTCTCTGCCCCCCTCTTTTTGACAGCTCTACAAGCTTTATAAATGCTGCACTTTCAATGAATGTAGAGAAGAAAAGGCCTCAGATAAACAGGTACAACCTATGTAGGAGGATTTTTTCATCTCTGTGTATCACCTGAGGCCAGTCACTTTACTGGGTATATGTGAGGGTTTACAACCACTTTAAATAACAGCTAAAATGGCACAATTGTATAACTATATTATTATTATTATCATTATTAAGCGGGACCCACCTTTAATAAGGAGATCAGACCCCAATGGTGTAGCTACAACATCGCAGCATAACAGGGTCACCAGTATAGCTGAAATGGTGATCAGAGCTTATGTGTTCAAAAGACAACAGGAGCTCCCAAAGTCATGTTCATCTCCTCATTGAAGGTAGGCTCCTGGTATAAGTACACTATTGTCTTTGATATGCATTGTGATTTCATCAAGTTTGAATATAATATACATGTTGTGCCCTCCTAGGTGACTAGGGGCAGCTAAATCATTACTGTTAGGCAGAGGCTGAGTAGCAGCCTGATGCAACAGTCAGAGGGAGGTCAAATTGTCTTAAAGGGAGTTAAGGACAGTAAGGTTTCATTTACATGTGTGGTTTGGGGGGCAGTAAAGCTCCATAGTTGAGATATGTTTTAACCTGGTGTGGTTGGGGTGGTGTCCCCAACCACTGATGTAACATTAGGGGTTGCTGCCCAATACTCCAGGGGGTCCATGCGACCTCCCTGTCACGTTCTGTTTTACATTTGGAGAGAAGGAGTGGAAGGGGCAGCATATACAAGAACCGATCCTCTCCATTTTTCTCCTGCAACCGTTGTGGCCCAGTTGCAGGCCACAATGAAATGAAATGGCTCAGAGTTTCACATTTTTTTATTTTGAATAGCATACTGAACATTTTCCTCCTGCAGCTGCTGAAAGCTGGCTTCTCCTCCTTTCCCTCCTGCCGGCATTCAATGGCTGTAGGATAAAAATGTTCAGTATGCTGTCCAAAATAAAAAATTTGCAACTCTAAACCAGGGGTGTCAAACTACTGGGCCCTCCAGCTGTTGCCAAACTACAAGTCCCCTGAGGCATCGCAAGGCTGACAGTTACAAGCATGACTCCCAAAGTCAGAGGCATGATGGGACTTGTAGTTTCGCAACAGTTGGACACACGTGCTCTAAACCATTTCATTGTGGCCCATGACCAGTTACCAAATCACTTAAGTGGCCCTCTCTCTTCAAGAGGTTGAGCACCGTGATGTATTATGATAAGGTATACGACATTAGGTAAAGCTTAACATAATAGGGGGTCATTTACTAAAACTGGAGAGTGCAGAATCTAGTGCAGCTCTGCATAGAAACCAATCAGCTTCCAGGTTTTATTGCCAAAGCTTAACCTCCCTGGTGGTATTCCCGAGTGTAGCTCGGGGTAAGGTTTCAGTACCAAAAGCAATAACCCCGAGCTACACTTGGGAATACCCTGCAGCGCTGCTCCGGGATCTGTTCTTCACTTACCTTGTCCTGCGCTCCCGCGATGTCCCTCCTGCAGTGTCCCCGGCAATGTAATCCAGCGGATGCTGGCATCTGTCATCTGGGTTCCATTCTCTGCGAGCGTCGGGACGTACGGGGACGGAAAGGCGGGAAATTTGAAAATGACAAAAAGTGACATTCACTAAATTCACTAAAATCACACAGTATAACATTACTGTATCAAACCATTTCACATACATTTTGTCCTGAGTGTTTTGTCCTGTGCCCTGCCTGCATTTTTACTGTTCTTTCTGCCTGGAAACTTAGAAATGTCCATGGCGTCCAAAAAGTGTCCCTTTAGGTCAAAAGCGGTTTTAGACCGGCTAGAGAACAGCGATAGTAAATCAGAACCACTTGCAGAATTGAGTGATAATGATTCGTGGGGGAAATTCGTCATCAGACACTAAAAACAATTTTGTGACTTTGCTCAGCGATGTGTGAACTTGGCGCTATATTTCAAATTTCAGTGTTTTTTGGTTTGATTACATTATTGAATTACATTTATTATTATATTATTATTTTTTATGATTATTTATTCAATTATAATTTATGATTTAGTGTTTCAAATTTTTATCATACCCGGGATGTTTACTAGACTCTTGTTCGGACAGATTTCAGTGAGTTATTCCTAAAAATTACAGGCCTACAATAAAAAAAATACATATTTCCATGCAAAAAAAGTACCGCTTTGAGCACAGAAATATGGACATAATCAGACCGCTAGGGAGGTTAATTGAACAAGATGAAGTTAGAAGCTGATTCGCTACCATGCACAGCTGCACCAGATTCTGAGTGCTCCAGTTTTAGTAAATCTGCCCCCAATGACTAGATGTGAATAAGGGGTGCCATTTACTAAAATGAGATAACTTACCGATAGATAAAAACAATCAAAGATTCTGAAAGGAAACATTGAATCCCAGTGAAATTATGAGCAGCTTGGAGGTTAAGTACTAAAACATCACTTCTGAAATATGACTCAAGCATTGCAAATATTTGTTAAGTGGGTAGAGCTGTGAGACTGCATTAGCAAGGTGATTTAAGATGCTTCAATGTATGATAGTTTTATAGAAAGAATTTTAATGTAAAATGCTGTTGTATGTAAATTAATGTCAGACAAACAGTAAGTAAAGTGACATTTAAATGTCAGCAACAACAGTGAAATAAAAGTGTTAATTACAAGACTCCAATAAAGGGAAATAAAATGAAAACTACCCGGTACCTTGCATGCTCTGCAAAGTCCATTGCCATAGTGAAAGAGCGGGTAATAATCTTTTACAGCAATACTTTCACAACTATGCCACATACCTCAAAGGATAATATCATGTATTTTCAATAAGCGCATATATTGAGTTTTTTGTAGTATCTACTTTAAACTGGTTGTAAACTCTTACATATACCCAGTGAAGTGACTGGCCTCAAGTGATACACAGAGAAGAAACAAATCCTCCTGCGTAAGATATTCCTGTTCATCTGTAGTGCTCTCTCTTCTACAACCATTCAAAGTCCAGAGTGTATACAGTTTGTCTGAGCTGTCACAAAGCAGGGGGCGGGGAGTTGAATTTACACTCTGCAGAGCTCAGTGAGGAAAGCTCCGAGAGCTGATTGGAGGGAAGGGACACCCCACCCCTTCACACAGCAGGCTGTCAATCACCTTTTTACCTTGAGGTGTCAGAAAAAGTTGTCAGGAGTGACTCATCCTGATGAAGCCCACGTGACTCGGTGGGCAAAACGTGTTGATGTCACAGACGTCAGTACGCCCCGGCTCCCGGGCTGCAACCTATTGGCTTTCCATCATGCCACCTCACCTGGAAGTCCTACACGGCTCTAGATGAACCTCTGGAATCCATTGTGGATGGCGTACCTTGCCTGCACTCCAGCTTCCATCTTTACCAACTTTCGGTGGTGGACAAAAACCTTGGGAGCGGTGATGCAATTACCCTATTAGCACCTTTACTGGGCGGTGGTCCCAGAACAGTAAGTGCTCAGCTAAACTGTAGGTGCTGGGAGTCTTTTTTTTACATTTCACATGTATATGGTATTTTTACCCGCTACCCCTATTGTTGATTCCATCCATCAACTGCATGTGACTATTCCTTGGTTGCTTTGTTCCATTACTAGTGGTGCTGCCTTGCATGATCTTGCTGTAACAACATACATACTGTACATGCATATGGACTATTTTCCATCATAACTCCATACTAGATTGCCAGCATTTGATCCAGCTGACCATGGACTCATCATATTCGGCCTGGGGCTGTGGACTGCCTGGTCAATAACTGAATATACTAGTAGATCCACTAGTAGTCTGCTGTGAACTGTATCCATTATATCATATACAATAACCTCCCTAGCTGTCTGATTACGTCAATATTTCTGTGCTGAAAGCAGTACATTTTTTTGCATGGAAATATGTCGTTTTTTTTTTATTGTAGGCCTGTAATTTTTTAGGAATATCTCACTGAAATCTGTCCGAACAAGAGTCTAGTAAACGTCCCGGGTATGATAAAATTTGAAACACGAAATCATAAATTATAATTTAATAAATAATCATAAAAAATAATAATATTTATTTTATTTTTTATTTATTTATTTTATCGAGTTTATATAGCGCCAAAGGGTTTGCTCAGCGCTGTACAATAGGAGGGGGGGGACAATACATGAAACAGTACAGTAGCAACAAACAGCACACAAGGGGTAAGAGGGCCCTACTCTTTCGAGCTTACAATCTAGGAGGGAGGGGGTAGAGGTACAGGAGGAAATGGCTGTGGGGGATGGAGTGGTAGGAGGAGGGAAGGGCAGCGGCTGTTAGGTGAGGGTGGGGTAGGCTTCCCTGAAAAGGTGGGTTTTCAGGGAGCGCCTGAAGGTGAGGAGGGAAGGTGACAGTCTGATGGATTGGGGTAGTGAGTTCCAGAGGATGGGGGAGGACCTGGAGAAGTCTTGCAGTCGTGCGTGGGAGGAGGAGACCAGGGAGCAAGATAGAAGGAGGTCCTGTGAAGAGCGAAGGGTACGGGTAGGGTGGTACCTGGGAATCAGGTCGGTGAGGTAGTTAGGGGCAGTGTTGTGAATGGCCTTATAGGTCAGAGTGAGCAGTTTGAATTTAATGCGTTGGGCAATGGGGAGCCAGTGGAGGGAGAGGCAGAGGGGGGTGGCAGAGGTGGAGCGGCTGGTGAGGTGGATGAGTCTGGCCGCTGAGTTCAGGATGGTCTGAAGCGGGGGAGAGTTTGCACTGGGGTAGGCCGGTGAGGAGGGAGTTGCAGTAGTCAAGGCGTGAGATAATCAGGGAGTGTACGAGTAGTTTAGTGGTGTCTGGGGTAAGGAAGGAGCGTATCTTGGCGATGTTCCGGAGGTGGAGCCTGCATGTGTTTGTAAGTGATTTGACATGAGGTTGAAAGGAAAGGTTTGAGTCCAGAATGACGCCAAGGACCTTGGCTTGCTGGGCGGTATTGATGGTGGTGTTGTTGGTAGTGATGGAAAGGATGGGGGGGCGAGGGAAGGGGGAAAGACGAGAAGCTCGGTTTTGGAGAGGTTGAGCTTGAGGAAATGGAGCGACATCCAGTCAGAGATGTCGTTTAGGAGGTGAGTGATGCGGGCGGAGAATGTGGGGGGTGAGGTGAGGGGTGGATAGGTAGATTTGAGTATCATCAGCGTAGAGGTGGTAATTGAAGCCGTGGGAGTGTATGAGTTTGCCAAGGGAGGAGGTGTAGATGGAGAAGAGAAGGGGTCCAAGGACAGAGCCCTGGCAGACCCCAACAGAGAGGGGGAGGGAAGGGGAGGTGGCACCGTTGTAGGAAACGCTGAAGGAGCGTTGGGATAGATAGGACGAGAACCAAGAGAGAGCGGTGTCTCTGATGCCAAGGGAGAGTAGTTTATTAAGGAGGAGGGGGTGGTTGACTGTGTCAAAGGCCGCGGAGAGGTCTAGGAGAAGGAGGACAGAGTAGTCGCCTTTGGCTTTGGCGATTAGTAGATCATTGGTGATTTTGAGGAGGGCAGTTTCGGTGGAGTGTAGGGGACGGAAGCCGGACTGTAGTGGGTCAAGGAGGTTGCTGTCAGTTAGGTGGGCGCTTAGGCGATCGTAGACCAAGCGCTCAAGGAGCTTGGAAGTGAGTGGCAGCAGGGAAATTGGTCTGAGGTTGTTGAGGTCAGTGGGGTCCAGGGAGGGCTTTTTGAATATGGGGGGTGATGTGCGCATGTTTTAGGGGGGAGGGGAAGATGCCAGTAGAGAGGGAGAGATTGAAGATGTGGGTAAGGGAGCGGATGAGGGAAGAGGGGGGTGACCAGAGGAGCTGAGAGGGGATAGGGTCCAGGGGGCAGGTAGTGAGGCGGGCTTCTGAGAAGACTCTGGTGACTTCCTCAGTGGTAGTAGGGCTGAAGGAGTGCAGTGATGGTATAGTAATAAATTTAATTCAATAATGTAATCAAACCAAAAACACTGAAATTTGAAATATAGCATCAAGTTCGCACATCACTGATCTTAGTCGCAAAATCGTTTCCAGTATCTGATGCCGAATTTCCCCACGAATCATTATCACTCAATTCTGCAAGTGGTTCTGATTTACTATCGCTGTTCTCTAGCTGGTCTAATTCCACTTTTGGTACCTTGGTCACTTCCTGGAGTGAGTGACTTGCATGCCTATGAGCCCGGGATTTGATTTTATTGTTTGACAACGTTGTCAATATTTTATTGCGTAGGGTGAAGGTGTCGTTTTGTAGTGAGTGATAATATATATACTTTTACATTGTTTTTGTATATTCAATAAAATTGTGTACAGTAAAAAATTCTTTGTTTATGTGAAAACATTTTTGGGTTATGTTTATTTATTTTTGGTATATTCATTTATGATTGTTTATATATTTACTAGAAAGTCCTTTGTCTCTCATGCCCCCTGAGGAAGATATAGAATATGGAATGATCGAAACGCATCAGGGTTTTTTTTCTGTGCGGTTTCATATTTTGTTGTATTAAGAGTTTTCTTGTAAGAATACTGTCAGAGCAATATTCTTTTTAG